GGAGTGTACGTAACTCAAACACTAAAAGCAAACGCGTCGCGTCAGTGCGTATGAGACAGAGGGCGCGCGGCAGCGCGCGCGGGGATGTGCCCCGCCACCACGTCCCTCTACATCCCGCTGATACCCAAAAATTGTGTTCTGCGCATCGGAACGTACGATGTTCCGAGCCGCCGTTAAGTTTGAACAAATGTGTACACGTTACTATAGCATGATATATGTAGTTACCTAACAATTAAATGACTCTTCTTATGTGCGAATTAAGTCAGCCAAATGTAGCGTGAATAATATTGTGCTTTTAACTTGTTTTTTTTTAGCTGCCGTAACTACTTGGATATACCGGTAACCTTTTTATCGGGATAAAAAAAATTAATGAAGTAGAGTAGCCTTGGGCGTAGTTATTGTTATTTTTTTAAGAAAACTTTATTTTTGAAAAAAATATATAAAGCGACTAGACTATCCAAATTTTAATCATGTTAACACTATATTAAGAGTGGCAATTACCTATAAAACTACGATTTCTTTGACTTAGAAACCGGCCGCTAGTTAAAAAGTTTACTTCAAATTATTTTATTTTTTGTTTTATTTCATTAACTTTACTGCATTCCCATAGAGAAAAAAGATACAAAGGGAGGACTTAATGCCTAAAGGCATTCTCTACCAGTCAATCAATGAAATTGAAAATTAGTATTCATTGACAAAACATTTTCATAATATGCCAATATAAATAAAATGAAGTTTAAAATTATTCCATAGGCTTCTGCTTTGATGACCTATATCCTGTTTTTTTGTCGACGGTTAACATGTTAGCTGGTTAGTGTACGAGTGGACCAGCGACATAAACATTCAGTAGCCGATATCTGAAGTCACTCTAATTAAAGCCAGTGGCAACTGACGCCGCTAGTACTTTGTCAATCGCAAATCATCCGCGCCGTGATAGAGAAGTTAAGATGGCAATCGTAGCTGGGAAGGGAAAAATCAAATTCATTCAACTCCATGAAATGGCCTTAGTTTTTCTTGAGAGAATAGTTTGATTAATATTGCGGCTTCGACCATGGCCCCATGAAACTCAGCTTAAGCCCCGCCTTAACTTTTTAGATAATGCCAGTAAAATCTTTCAAAATTTTACTGCCGTTATCTAAAAAGTTAAGGCACAAATTCAGAATATTTATTTGCCGTTTACCGAATATTTGATATTGCAAACACTATCCAATCTGCGAACATGTTCAAGTTAGCTGTCCAAGGATAGGGTTTTCTCCAACCTAGTACATTTTATCGTTTTATTCATTGTTAAATCATATATAAATACTACAGAACACATCGATTTTTTATTTTCGAGATTTATCGAAAATACGAGATCTCTCATTTTCGGTAGCTCTAAAGACCCCAGCGGCAGTAATCCACGCTACGCCACTGTTTGGTGCGCATACGTGCGCATATTCGAATATGGCGTCTTGTTACGTACAGACGCCATGATTGTGAAATTTTTATATTATGTAAAAATGTGAAATATGTACAAAGCCGGAGTATTTCGATTCTTAGTTAGCTCTTACGTTATCATGTTTAGTTTTAATATTGATGACTTTTTTTGTTTTCTTGTTTTCACGTTAAGTTGCTTTTATGTTTGCTTGTTCGTTTGCATTAAAAGAAGAATTATTTTTAACTTAGCTAAGTGTTTGCATAACAACAATTCATTCGTTTACCGCGACAAAACTTCAGAATTTTGTAATGACTTAAAAAAGTTTTGGTAGTTTATAACCATGACCAAGAAAGAAAGAAAGACTGATTTCAAGTGACGCATTAACCATGTTAAAACAATATAAAAATATGCATCTAAAATCATTTGCAACAAACATTTGGTTTTAGGTGTATATGTGTGATTCCAGCTGTGAATATTTTACGATCTGATAAAGAAAGTAGAAACGGAAGACGACCGTCTGACCTCGGGGATATACTTGGCGAGGGTAGCAGCAGACAAAGTCCAATGGAAGCAGTTCGACGATGTGTGCGTGAGTGCGTGTCAAGAAGTTGAACATAGTTTTGAAATGCACTCAGGGCTCCGCCTATCTTTCTTTGTTGGTCTGAGTTTTAAATGCGGCTTCTATCCTTATATCTGTCTCTTTCTATTATAGTTTAGTGAAAAGAGAGAGAGAGAGAGAGAGAGAGCAAGTGTAAGCATTTCTTAAATTTTGTTATTGAGTTGTTTTTTGATTTTATGAATAAGGCCGGAAATGAATAAATTTTTACCACTTCTAGCAATAGAAAATGTAACTCTCATAATATTTACATGAATTATATGCTAGTTTATTGTTCACATAATGATTTCAAGACTTTTATTTAAAGTTTATTGTTTATGTCGCATATTATAACTACTTTGCGTTAAGTGTTGATTAAGATGTTGCTTTTGCTTAATATTCAAATAGTTTAATTTCTTACAAAACAACGTAATTTCTTTGTCAGTTGTGAGTGATGATCGAAATATTCCAGTTTGCTAACATTTAACTTAAGGAACTTTTAAAACGGGTTGTGGGGACATGGGATTATTGATTCGGTATATATTATATAAATTTCATATATCATTGCCCAATAACTCGTATCGAAGAGCTTGTTATATATAGATTAAGAGGGATTGTGACCAAAATGTAATGTTACCGTTAAATTATTATCTCGAAAAATTTCAATCGTTGGTCTATACATCGCATTTTCATGTTCCCACAAAACTTAGAATTAGTTGATAAATTATAATTGAATCTACCTCAACCAAATTACCCATTAACGTTGTTTGTAAGTGTTCACTTGAGTCTTATTATTATTACTAATAAATTACTGAATTGTAGTGTTTTTATAATAAAAATTATTATAAGTTCCAACTTCCCATTTTGATACGGTAATTATTGTTACCAATCGTATTGAATGCGGGCGGGTTGTTGCGGCGGCGATGACAGGATTGAAAACGAAATTAAATTTGAGAATAAATTCAACGTTCACGATGTTTTATTTATGGTTCCTTCTTCCCTTCTTGATAGAATAGTAAGCAAATAATTTTTTTTTATAGAATAAAGGCGGTAAACGAGCACACAATCCTCCTGATGGTAAGTGGATGCTTTGGCCCATAGATATCTACATTTATCCTCGAAATGCAGATACATTGTCATCCATGAGGACTACAGTAGGTGCACGAGTTCATGTCTATCCTGAGGAATGCGGTAGTGCTATGACCTAATCAGTTATGGTAATGTTGATAATTACTACCGATTTGGTTTATTCTATGTACAGGTTTGATCTACATGTACGGTTGCAATCTGAAAACCTCATGTTAGCTCATGTAGTTTTATCTAATCAAAAAGCTCGCTTTTCTCATGTTTAGTATAGTCTACATTTTTTTTCTAGTAAACAAGTCTAACATATTGCTTGATTTTATAGGGACTTTATTTTCCTCAACACTGACATAACGACTACGCTGGATGGTGGCAAATTGGGAACGAACATGTGAGTCACTCATTTCTCAAAGTTCCTACTGTTCGTTTGCCGTGGTAATCGCCTGTAGCAATACAAGCTTTGAAAAACAACTTTGCGCCGTCCAAAAATCACGTCTGGATCCGGCGTGAACGAGAATTAGCCTGCTCGTGGAGCTAGTGTCAGTCAGTATCTCCAACACTTTTTAAATGTGAGGTTATTGCCAAACCACGTTTAAAGGTCTAAAAAGAAAATATCGCGATCATTTTCTCTATATTGACGAATTTTTTGCAAATAATTTAATTGCGCAAATACAACAGCTGGTCTTTCTATCAAAATCTTCTACTTGTGACATTTTCGCAATTTATAGCCCATTTCCTTTAGTAGTCCCCCAGGGAAAATTAAAAATTTTCCCGGCTGCCAGAAGTTTAGAACAAGTGGTAACAATTATCTTTGTCAAATAAAATTCTTTTGAACATCTGTGTATTACATTTCTATCGAAATCATCTAAATTTATATTTTCCATTTCATTACACGATTTCCCTTTTTTTGAAGGCGAATGAAGAGGTCCATTTTTGCTTCTGTTTGAATTCTAGACAATGCTGTTTTAGTAATTCCAATGTAATGGACCGCTCGATCTAAAGCATTGTTGATGAGATGAGAGATGAATGTTTCTCGAGTGGCTGCCTCGTTCTGGTAAACGAAGTATGGGGTGGCTACCACTAAATGGAGTGACTAGCTGGTATGTAAAACAGGAAGCCGATGGATGCAGGTGGCTCAGGACTGCTGTGGACAAGGGCTGTAAAGATGACGGTTAATAGCTAAAGCCGAAGAATGCAGGAGCTTAGTCCCAATAGATATGTTAAAAGTTGTAGTTACAACCCGTCCGACTCGCACTGACTAAACTCCATGGTGTTCTACTTTCGTATATAAGTAGGAAGAGCCTAGGGCCTTTCGCTTTTATTCAGTTTAATTCTAATAAGGGAAAATATTTGAGAAGAATTGTTAGCGACCCGTTCTGGCTTCTACTAGGTGGGATCTATTGATGTGGCGCTATTTAGACCTAAGATAATCATTAAAGATCATTTATTTTATCTTATCAATAATTCGATTTTAACAAAATCTAAATATTTGGATATTTCGTCTAAAACACTCCTGTTAATATTTTATACCAACATAATATTAACAAACAAAATCTACAGTAATTATGATGCAAACTGAATAATAATGAACAGAAATTATAATTAATAAAATAATAATTTAAAAAACAGAGATTTATGATGTGTGTCTTTCATGCATTGCTCTAAGCAGATGTGGGTGTACACATTTTCTATCGTAGGGTTATAAAACGCATAGTTTACTATTTTCTTTATATTTTTATTAAAAAGATAATATTTAAAATAAAAATATCATTTTGATCGATTGATTGGTCTACCGTCTACGATAGGTTTACTTGGTATTTTATTCATAGATATAATATCACATTGTTAGGAAGTGTAATAGTGTTAATAAGTATAAAAAAACAACAGTTAAATACTAAATATCATTTACTGCTTATTTCTTAATTGGACAAGTAGACTTTGGCGACATAAGCGTGACACAGCTCCTTCGTCCTTGCGTCGCAACTTGGCGGCGAGGCGAGCAAGGCTGAACCGCGAGCGGGGACGATCTCGACGTGATACTAGAACAAACAAAATGAGTTGCGTATTGGATAGCGATAAGTGTTTACTATGAAATTAGAGTCGACTAAAGGGTCGATTATATTTTTAAAAATCTTCACCGTGATTTGAAGCCAAGAACTTTGAACATTGTTGAAAACATTGATCGTCTGTGTACGAAGCATAATATTACATATTAATACAATATTAATACAGGGTTATTTTTCAAAAACTTGCCGAATTTTGAACTTAAGTTCAAATATGTACTATAAATAACAAATTCAAATTCAAATTCATTTTATTCATTTGCGATATATGGGTTACAATAGGTCTTAATAATTTAACAAAATACAGCCATATTCTACCTTTCGGTATGCAAACTACTTAAATATTAGATTCTATTTATAATTAAAATTAAATGGAAAATGCCGATAATTACATTAACATAATATAACCCTATTTGTATATTTGCGCTACTAACATAATAATAATTCACAAAATAATGATAAAATACATGTAATAATTAAAATTGTAATGTCCAAGTAATAATGTCAAAACGAGTAGGTATAAATTGTCTCAAAATTAATAACATAGATAACGTTTCGTTCAATAAATTTGATAGTTAAAATTTAAAAATTGTCATATAGATAATCGTCAATATTATAATACGCTTTTATGGTTAAAAATGTGTTTAGTTGTTTCTTAAAAATGTGAAAGCTCTTAGAATCTCTTATATATTTAGGTAAATGGTTATACAGTCGAGGACCCATACAGAATACGCTTTTTTGAAACAAAACAGTCTTACTATTGGGATGGCTCAATTTATCTTTATGACGCTGGACATTTAGTTTTTTGTAAAAACTTAAGTTTTGACGTACAAATAAGACTACCTCATATATATATAGACATGGCATTGTTAATAATTTTAAATTAATGAAGTATGGCTTACAACTCTCACTTTGGTTAATTTTACAAATGGCTCGTAAGCATCTCTTTTGAGCTTTAAATACTGTTTCTTTGTCCGTACAATTACCCCAGAACATAATACCATATCTAAGTGTATACATAACATAAGCATGATATGATGCCATTACGGCGGATGTGTCTACAACTTTTCCAAGCATATATAACGCATACGAAAAACGATTTAATTTCATACACACACTGCTCACATGAGACTGCCAGTTCAAATTGCAATCTACATTTATACCCAAAAATTTTATATTATCTATGGTATTGATTTTTTGTCCTAGATAATTGATATTTAAATTATTTATTTTATTACGTTTTTGATAGAATGTCATAAGTTTTGTTTTTTCTAAATTTATATTTAAATTATTTATGTTTAGCCAATTCATGATTTTCTCTAAAGCAAAGTGTATGTTACTTTCTAAATCTATTTTGTTTCTGCTAGTGAAAATAACTGTGCTATCGTCAGCAAATAATACTATTTTGTGATTAATGACGTTGGGAAGGTCGTTGATATAAATAAGAAACAACAATGGTCCTAAAACACTTCCTTGCGGTACTCCAGTTTGTACGACTCTGTATTCAGAAACATAGGTCATTTCTTTTCTTGATTTTAGACAAATTTTTGTAATGTGTGTACTTTGTTTTCTGTTAACTAAATATGATGTTAGTAGATCTAGTGCATTACCTCGAATTAACGATATACCGTTATTGTCTGTTTTGAAAATACGAGTAAATAAGGTTTCTACTTTTATTTGAAATAATCCCTAATTTAATGTTATTTATCACACATTCGGAGATTTTTTTTAAATGAATTTTTCTTTACCATTTGCTTACATTACTTATTCTGAATCTTCTCTGCAAATTTGGCCGGTTATTTCCATACAACCCTATATACCTAGTATAGGCTTCCGCGTTGTTTATAGCACATATTGTAAGTGAACGTTTCTTTGCGCCTTTCGTCATGAGTTGTATATTGCCATAATTGCCACTTTTTCAAACGGGTTGACAATCGGAGTTTAAGTAATTTTGGTATTATCAGAGAGATGCTGCTGCAAATTTCCTTGTTTATTTCCCGCTGTCGCCTCTTACGACATCCACAAGACATTATGGGTTGACTGGTTGAGAATGCCTTTAGGCATTAAGTGCGCCCTTTGTATCCTTCTTTTTCTAAGGGGACGCAATAAAGATTATAAAATAAAAAATATGGGCTAGTGGACATTTTTACACCGCCAATAAACACTGTCAATAAGAGAAGTAAGAGCTTTAGACCAATGGTCTAAGGTAAGATCGTAATATTACCTAATGCCATTTTTACGATAAGTACCATTAAACGACATATCACCGCAGATGTTTATCTGCTAAACCTGGTACTATGATTTTGTAGTTGTTGCTACGGTATAAAACAAATCGCTATATTTTAAACACGTTCGCAATCATATTATCATTTGCAAAAAAAGGAACGATAATATGCATTTTAACGAAAAATACTATATACTCTCCCTATAAGAGACTTGCGATCCCCCCGTCTTTGCACGAATGATTTCTGGATCTCGACAACAGCGCCACCTACCTGGTCCAATTGTGAATTTAAACCACCCAAACAAATGCACAAAAAATTATCAAAATCGTATGATCCGTTTTCGAGTTTTAGCGAGACTAACGAACAGCAATTGATTTGTATATGTATATATATATATATATATATATATATATATATATATTAAGAGAGAGAGAGAGAGAGAGAGATTTAGGCCAAGGAAAGGTCGGCGGCGCTGCCCCAATACGTGTTTTTGAACTTCAACATGTCCTCCAAAGTACTTGAGTAAATAATAATATCTTTGATATGCAAGTTTGCATAAGACATTTTCTTCGTCTAACAAGTGGTAAAGCAGGATAAGGATCGGATTGCTCGGATCTAGACATGTGTCAATCGTGAATTATTCGTTCATTTGATCTCACAGATCATAGAATACTGAACCCGAAATGATTCATTTGAATGATCGACCTGAACCGGGTCAGGTTTGTAAGACGAATCAATACTTGAATGATCGGATCATTATAAATTTAATGAATGACACATGTCTACTCGCGTTTCATTTAAGGTATGTCTATGCATGAAATACATAGTGTAGCTTATCTAATTACCTTCGGCTACTCTCTGCCATGCTTCCCTGTCCACATTGACCATGCCAGTTGAAATACTTCGCCCCAAGCTTTGTTCCTGCGTGCTAGAACTCTGTGTTTCTGTCACATCACTCTCACAGCTAATGCGGCTGTTTCTGGAAATATACAAAATACATAAACATAAATCCTCACGCCTGTTGCCCAGGGGAGTAGGCAGAGACTACGGACTTCCATTTGGTACGATCGAGGCGAAACAGATGTATAAGACTCTCGCCTCCTTTACATCCATATAGGTGTCCCATTGTGTGTGTTGTGTGCCACATGTCCCATCCCTTCCCAACTCTGCCGTTTACTTCCGTAACATAAATTTGCTTTGCCAGTCTTTCCTCGTTCATTCTTTCTACATTACCTAACCACCGAAGCATTCCTTTCTTAATCCTGATCACAACATCATCTTGTGTACCAGACAATTTCTCACCCTGTAATTTATATTCGAAGCAATGAAAATATACAAATACAGAAATTTTTATAAAATTATGTGAGCGTGTGGTGGCAGTTTGTACGATTACATTCATCATCATCATCAGCCTCTGGCAGTTCACTGTTGGACATAGGCCTATCTTAAGGCGCGCCACTTAGCCCGGTCTTAGGTTACACGCATCCTGTTCCTACCTTGTGCAGATCGTAGTTCCATCTAATCAGAGACGTCTTGTACTACGCTTGCTTCGACGATCTGCACTCCATAACACATCTAATCCATCGATTGTTAGAGAAGACCAGCCCATTGCTACTTCTGTTTACAAACACGGAAGGATATGTCAGTAATTTTGGTTCTCCTGCAGATTTCTTCACTGTGAATTTTATCTACCGGAGAAACTCCGAGCATAGTTCTTTCAATCGCTTGCTGAGGGATAAAGTCCAGGTTTCGGCACCACAGGTCTCCACAGCGTAAATCAGTGCGTTCTGTCAAGCACTGGATGAATAATTTTTCCTTCAGACTTTGTGGTATGAGCGAAGAGAAAACCTGACTAACCCTCCTATAAGCTGCCCAGTCTAATTGAATCCTATCGGCTTTCTTCACGAAGTAATTTCTTTTTTTTTATTACAGCCTATCAAAGTCCACTGCTGAACACAGGCCTCTCCAGAGAATGCCCCATAAAGAAAAACAATGCCAAGCTTGGCAACTACCCTTGGCAGACGGGTTCTAGTTGTTATTAGGAAGACACTGCAGTCCATCTCCTGGTTTGTTTCCCTCTGCCGCCGCTTACGACTCCCGCGGGACGATATGGGGAAGTGGATATTCTTACACTGCCTACTCTGTGACTAGAAGCTTCTTACTAAAAGAACAAAAGCTTGCTTTCTGTTACCTACAGTGGATATGTTTTAATATGTCCCATAATTCTATATTACTAAACATATCCACGTAGGTACAGAGTTTTTTTTTTTTTTTATATATATATATATATATATATACACATATATATACACGTATGTAATTAAAACCAAAAATTTCTTACTGCCATATTCCAGATTTTTTACAATTTCATCATTTTATAAACTGTTTTAACTGTCTATTTTTACCTCGGTTATTCGACATCCAGCAAACGAAAACGAATATAAAAAATAAAAGCATACAGCCATTGCCACTATCCTTTTTAAATTGTACTTTAAAATATAATTCAAATCGATAATTTATTAATTTATTATTCACCTTCAATCTCCGAGCTAATTCTCTTGTCGAGCTATTGTGTAGATCAGAGATCCGAGATATCGCGTCATACGAATCATAGGAGATAACGAAATGACGTGGAAAAAACGTGGGAAATGACATTTTTGGTTCGTTTTGTAAGGCAATTCTTTAATTTGTTTTTAACCTACTTCTGAATGTACCATTGTCAGGTGCTATAAGCTATATCAATATCATCTCAAAGCAACATACAAATGCTATGAAAATTGTAATTTGTCAAGTTAGGAACTTATTTTATATTCATGATGACAGCAGTTATTTTTTTATTAAAGGGAGTCCCTTTCATGTAGATGCTATTATAATGTAATAAAAATAAATATTTTTTAGAATTTTCGGATGCAGTGTTGTCATATACATGGAGGGAAACGTCTTTCAGAATCGAATATCAATAAAAAAATATTAGTTTAAACATAATATTATACAAACCTGTCGCCGGGTCTCAAATCATTAGCTGAGTTCGTACCTTCCCTCCTTATCGACGGAGGGGATGCCAGGAATTTTTCCCTTGCAGCTCGAATCTTTGCTGCGCGCTCTGAGAGACTTGATGCCACGGTACTGCTTTCTGTTAAGAAATTCTCGGGTTCCATCGTTGAGAAAGATCTCTCATAAAACCCAGTGTTATTCGTTAAAAACCTGGATAAGCTTGGCACTATAGTATCTGACAGCTGCCTTAATACGGGATGAGGTTCTGGTTCCGCTTGGCTCTGATCTGGTAAATTAGAGGACACGCTTTGAACTACTGTATCGGTGCTTTCAGTATTATATTGTATCGTCTCTTGGCTATCTTCTTTATTCCCTTGTAGCGGCGTTGATTCATTTTCTTTTTCCGGAAGCAATGTATTTGCGCTGTGTGACTTAAGTACTCCATCCAAAGTTTGTGGGGTTGGCGTCAGGCGTTTTTCGACTGAAGTTTGATCTCGTCTCGATAGCTGACAAGCACTCGCCGATTTCTGGACTTCTCTTTCAAGGAACGGGTTATTTCTGAAAAATTACGGTAAAAGTTATTTTAAAAAAGGATAAAAATTGTTAGAAATGTGAATTTTATGTTGATTAAGAAATTTAATTCCGCCGATTTCTACCCCGTGCGGTGTTAATGAAATAAAAACGATGAATGAAAGAAAAAATCGTAAAGAAACCTGCATGTCTGAAAAACAATTTGAGGACATGAAACAGAAACAGAAACTTTTTTATTCAATGTAGATTATAAACAATGCTTATTGAAAGTCAATTTCTTTTTAATTTACCACTGGTTCGCAAAAAAAACCTCTGTCCTGGGAAGAACCAGCAAGAAACCCATTGTTTACAATTAACAACACAAAACAAATTAGAAATAGCTTGGTAGCGATCACCCTTCCCAGGGGTTATTATCATCCATAAATTCCTTAATATTAAAATTACCCTTTTTATACAAACTTAGTTTAATAACATTTTTGAACTTTGCGTATGACAAATTTTGTATATTTTCTGGGATTTTGTTGTAAAAGCGTATACATCGCCCCAAGAATGAATTACTGACTCGGTGGAGTCGAGTAACTGGTACTACTAGCTTGTGTCTGCTCCTAGTATTTACAGAATGAATATCACTTATTTTTGCAAAACTACGTTTATTCTTGTGTACGTACATTACATTTTCATAAATGTATTGAGAGGCCAGAGTTAATATATTAATTTCCTTAAATTTTTGTCTCACTGACTTGCTTTTAAATTATATATTGCTCTAATGGCCCTCTTCTTCTTCACGTCAAACCGCTAACACGTATTGGGGTACAACGGCACATTTCCTTTCTAAAACCCTTTCAAAAATGAAAGGAGGCTAATGCCCAACAGTGGTATGCGTGCCATTTTATCTTTTTTAAGCAATTAAATTCATTTATATAGTTTAGACTTAGGTTGAACGGTGGTACTATCATCACCATCATCGGAGCTTTTATACTGTACCTTATATTAATCCCAAGAGGCATATCTGGAGGTCGTCGCCGCTCAGCAGTTGGAGAGCGCCAGGGAGGTGAGGAGGCACCACTACTTCCGCCTGACACGGGACCTGATGAAATATTTTATTTTTATGTTTTTCGGTTGGTATGATTTTAACAAATTGTTAACTCGTTTGAATTATTATGTAGAATCCATATTCATATTATATTACTAAATAATTCTATACATACATATATATATATATATATATATATATATATATATATATATATATATATATACTTTATGAGCAAGTCCAAAGTAGCAGCTCAGCGAGTTAAGGAGAGGGCTATGCTCAAAGTGCCTCTTCTTGATAGACTTTAAGAAGAGGGTATCCGCAGTAAACTAGTGCAACCGACATAGCTCAACGGAACAGTAAGCTGAAGCGGCACCGGACTGCCATATAGCGTAAGTGGCAACAGGTCTAATTTTTCTTATGAAAGGAAATATAATTTCTCTCTTACAATCTATCAATACAATCCATCCGGGGCCAAAATGCAAATCTGCCTTACGACTGCTCCGCCTCTTAATAAAGATGTTAATTGCAATTTTTTGTCGATTTATTACGTGCTCGGCGATGAAGGAAAACATGTTCAAGAGCTGATAAGACATGCGACTGAGGACTAGAATATTTCTAGGATACATAAAGTCCGCTAACATGCGCATGACTGTAGCAGTGTGGTTGACTAATTGCTCCATAGAGTCTGGAATCCTTTCAACATTTTTGAGAGGCTTGGTTTCCAGCAGATAGTATTAGAGCTGTAATTTTTTTAAACTATTAGTTAAACCGTGTAGTGGTCGTGTAAGAATATCCACTAACCCATATCGTTCCATAAGTGTCGTAAGAGACGAGACCGAAAAAGGAGATAGGCATCAGCTAAAAACTTAAAATTATAAAAAACTGTGGTTGTGTTGCAGTTGTTTGCAGCTAAAAACTTAAAATTATAAAAAACTGTGGTTGTGTTGCAGTTGTTTGCAGCTAAAAATTTAAAATTATAAAAAACTGTGGTTGTGTTGCAGTTGTTTGCAGCTAAAAACTTAAAATTTTAAAAAACTGTGGTTGTGTTGCAGTTGTTTGCAGCTAAAAACTTAAAATTATAAAAAACTGTGGTTGTGTTGCAGTTGTTTGCAGCTAAAAACTTAAAATTATAAAAAACTGTGGTTGTGTTGCAGTTGTTTGCAGCTAAAAACTTAAAATTATAAAAAACTGTGGTTGTGTTGCAGTTGTTTGCAGCTAAAAACTTAAAATTATAAAAAACTGTGGTTGTGTTGCAGTTGTTTGCAGCTAAAAACTTAAAATTATAAAAAACTGTGGTTGTGTTGCAGTTGTTTGCAGCTAAAAACTTAAAATTTTAAAAAACTGTGGTTGTGTTGCAGTTGTTTGCAGCTAAAAATTTAAAATTATAAAAAACTGTGGTTGTGTTGCAGTTGTTTGCAGCTAAAAACTTAAAATTTTAAAAAACTGTGGTTGTGTTGCAGTTGTTTGCAGCTAAAAATTTAAAATTATAAAAAACTGTGGTTGTGTTGCAGTTGTTTGCAGCTAAAAACTTAAAATTATAAAAAACTGTGGTTGTGTTGCAGTTGTTTGCAGCTAAAAACTTAAAATTATAAAAAACTGTGGTTGTGTTGCAGTTGTTTGCAGCTAAAAACTTAAAATTATAAAAAACTGTGGTTGTGTTGCAGTTGTTTGCAGCTAAAAACTTAAAATTATAAAAAACTGTGGTTGTGTTGCAGTTGTTTGCAGCTAAAAACTTAAAATTGTAAAAAACTGTGGTTGTGTTGCAGTTGTTTGCAGCTAAAAACTTAAAATTATAAAAAAACGGCCTGTCAAGCGTGGCAACTATGACAAGACCCCTCTAATAGGAAACCTTTGGGGGAGGCCTATGATCAGCATTGGAGTTTTGTAGGCATACAGCCTAATGGATGGATGGATAGATGAAAATAAATTATATGTGTTTTTTATAGAATAAGGGTGACAACTCCTTTGTCACAACAGTCCAAAGTGAATGCTGTGGCCTATAAACATCTACATCGATTAAGAATCAAAATGCAGATGCGTTGTCACTCTGGAAGACTAAGCTGGAATGCCTCGTTTCCAACAGGTAAAAAGGGTCTGCGATTCCCTACTAATTTATAAATCGAGCTGCTATTTTATACTGGTATACTGTGAGATTGTTTTCTTTCCTGGTCTTGCCGACCCATTTGTACTACAACCATAATTTAGCTGCAGCGTGGCACTACTTATTAATATGTTCCTCTCAGATATGACGGGAGTCCTATGCCCTTAGAGTTGAATACTCTGAGCCTGTGCCCAACAGTGCAACGAATATTCTGCAATTGCCAGTTTATGTATTACGATATATGTATTTGTTATGGTTGTGATCGAATGCGAAGTTGTGAAATTACCTTCTTCATTTATTTTTTTATTATAACGTTGTATCATAATACGAATGGAAGGCGCCGCCTCTTTCTGAAGTGGCTTACGCTGTGATGACGGAGACGTGGGAAGTGGTGGTCTCGTTTTCGGTCTTTGGTCAATTCCATCTTGAAGATCGCCGGAACTCTTGGATCGCATGTTGAGCTCTTTTTTGCGTTTTTCTGCTTCAGATTTCTTCTTGAAATCGTAAGTGCGTGGACTCCTTTCCACGGATGGTCTCACTTCATCCAGGTCTTCCACGTCCACCGGTATAACGGCTCTCGGCACTGTTTCCCCGCTTCGCACAACTGGCGAGAATATTTTTCTGGTTGTTTTGACTATCACTTCCGGTGACTTCTCTCTGGGTTCTGAAGCTTTGAGTTTCAGTACAAAGATCTGCGATACATTATTTGAATTAATAAAATTAAGTGAATTATATATAACTATAATAGGTAACCCGAGGCAAGTGTGACAGTGGGGCAAGTGTAACAAATGCAAATTATGCGGCCTAAACACGGTTTTTGGTTCAATTAATTTATGTCACACTTGCCCCAGGTGACCTTATAAATAACAGCCTTGTACTGGCAAGCGTAGCGTAAGGCGACCCCACTATATGGATGACTAGACGATGGATGGCTAGACTTTGATGAGCTATGTAGATTAAGAGCAGGGAAAGGTACAGGATCGTGTTATGTGGCAATCTTCATAGATCCCTACAAAATACTTTTCCTTAGACTTATATTAAGACCTATTTTCAGCAGCAGTTCATCACAATTATAGGTGGGCTATATAATGACAACGGTAATGAAATAATTTTAAAACACGTTCTAGATGAATGTGTTCGACTAACTGCTGTGCGGACGTTCCGGGCATCCTCTCAGAATTAAGAGAAAGACTGTGTCCAACAGTGGGATTTATCAAGTCTATAAAATTTTATTTATTACTTTTACATAAATAATATGTATTCAAGAATTTTTTAATGCATTTATAAAATATATTCGCTTTCGCCCAGCATTAAAACATGCTGAATGAAAACCCAAACATGAAAGAAAAACAGATTAAGTATAAGAAAAACTAAAGGGATTCGTACGATAAGGCAGTCTGATCGCTAAAGAACGATCTCTTTCAGACAATTTTAACATTTAGGAAAGAATTGAACTATTAGTCAGTGGAGGGGGGGGGGATATTTTATACTAAACTTACATGCCAATACCTAAATAAACTTCACCAATGTAATATATTATTAATAACAGAATAAAACACTAATATTACAAAATAAATACAATTAGTAGACATACATTACAATAAATCGGCAAATATAAAAGAGGCAACAGAATGAAACAAATCAAGTCCTGGGCAGCAGCGTATTCATAATAAAGACTAAAAATAAACTGCGGATGCCAACCCACGGTCAAGCGTGGCAACTATGATAAAAGAGGCAATCGATGGGGAGGCCTGTGTTCAGCAGTGGACATTAACAGGCTGTAACGGTAACGGTACATAAGTAATTATCTTGTAAAGCGTTTAATTACCTCTCCCTCTGAATCCGAGTGAAATGATGTTGGAGGACTCCTAGGTCTTTCAGAAGGTTTTCGTGGTCTCTTTCGTCTCCTAGGAATTTCAACCGTTACGGTGTCCACATCTTGCTCGGTATCACTCTCTGACGGCTTAGATTGTTCTCTTTCTAACCTTGCTCTAGATTTAGTCTTCTTTTTACCGTTACCTTTATCGCCATCTTTACGTTTAGAATCATCTTTTGGGTCTTCGTTACTTTCCTTACCAATTTTAATTTCTTTTGAATCATCTTGTTTATAAATTCTTGAGTTAGATACTTTGCTTGTAGACGGCATGTCTTTAAATTCCGTTTCTGAGGTTGTTACGTCATCTTTAAATCTGGTAGAGCTTCCTCTTTCAATTTCCTCTATAGTTTTCCTGATAAACAGTGCATCTTCTTCAATGCTCGGTTGTTGACTTATTCTTCTTCTGACAGACTTTTCAGTTGTTTTATTCTGAAGAATTTTTAATGTTATTTTTGAAAGGATTTTGTTAATAAAATTACATGTAAATGAAATTAACCTGTAAAATATACCTGTTCATGCGATGATTTTGATTTTGTAGACTGGCCTTTTGATTTCACACCGCGAGTTTCTGAAAGTACGACTGCTAAAATTGTATTGCTTAACAGTAATATGTAGTTGTAACTCAAGGGTGGAGTAAACGCGCGCTTTAATTCCCGTTGACTTTACGGAAGTTCCTAATCACTTTTTTGATTGTTAATTGGCAACGTTCTTAACGGTGATGGAAAACATATTGAATATTTTGAGGATAAAGTTATAAATGCTGATGTTTTCCACGTTGGTCAAGTAATCGTAAGTGTAACTTCTGATCATGAGATCCATGATTCAAATTTTGGGTCGAAACGAAATCAGCTATTGGGGTGTTCCATCAAGAAATTCTTAGTCGAGACCCCCGTGTTTGCTTTCCAAAACACCGTTGGTCTTGCACCCGAACTCTCTCCGGTCGTGTAGGATTGCAGTTCCATCTAATTACGAGAATAAAGTAATATAGAATACACCCGTGCAATATGGTCCTATCATTCACAGGTTTGCCAAACATATTGAAGTAGCGCAAGTTTTTATCGACTTAAAATGATGATGCAGGTTATCATTAAAAGAAATATTATCATTTAAAATTACAAACCTTTATTTAAAAAAAATTCAACGAGTATTCGGGACCAAATATTGTTATTTTAAAATTGATTTAAAGGTTAAGAACGTAATTAGAGTACAAATAAATTCACCATTTTGATTTTTCTTATTCAGGTGAATCACAATTTAAAACTAATTTTGAAACTTAAAGCTTACCCGGCTAAGTACTTAACTGTAATTTTAACCACTCATTTGCTACATACGCCACGCACGCATCAACTAGTAGATTAAAGAAACCAACTTGAGGAAACCTGCATGTCTTTTTTTATAGGATAACTATGACAAACGAGCACACAGTCCACCTGATGGTAAGTGGTTACTGTAGCCCATAGACACATATATCTCCTCGATTACGATTGAAAATACAGATACATTGTTATCCGTTAGGAATAAGATAGAAAGCCTCCTTTACAGTAAGAAGATTCTTCGGTTTTCTACACTCAACATACGAAACACAGCATCGTTAAGCTGCTATTTTACGCTGGTATTCTATGAGAGCGTGGTAGAGCCATGCTGCAGCTATATTGTGGTTACAGCACGAATGGGTCGGCTCGATCGGGGTAGGATCACGCTCTTACAGAATACCAGTGTAAAATAGCAGCTTAATGGTGTTGTATTTCGTATGGTGAGTGTAGAGAACCGGAGACCCTTTTTACCGGAAACGAAGCATTCCATCTCAGTCCTCAGGGCCGGCAACGTATCTGCATTTTAATTTTTAAATGAAGATAAATGTAGATGTCTATGGACCACACCATCCACAAAACATCAGGTGCACTGTGTGCTCTTTTGTCACCCTTATACTACAAAAAACCTTCCCTGGACGAGCCGACCCATTCGTGCTACAACTATACTATTAATATAGCTACAACATGGCTCCACCACGTAAAATTGTTTTAGGAATAAGGAATAAGGAATAGTTTGAAGATATGTGAATACTGCTAAGACGCACTGTTATTGGTTATTTTAGTAAATTCTCACCAGAACCGTTCGGCTGCAAGACTGCAGTTCCAGTAACGGCGGAACTGGTTTCACAGAGTAAGCGTGCCTCTGCCTGGCCGTATGTGTACACTGGCTTCTGAGGAGTGTGACACGGGGAGACCGCCACCAGAGGTGCAGCAGTGCAGACTTCCTCAGCTTCCACTTCCACCAGCACTGCCCCTCGGGTGTTATCCCCATCAATATCGTCAACACCGTCAGGCTGAAACATAATATCTAAGTTTATAAACTTGATTTTTGCGGGTTTGGTAGAGTACCTAAAACAAAGATTGTATAAAAAGTGCTGTTATAATATTATGGCATTTTTTGTACTTAATTGTACAACATAGATAGTAAATTGTTCTTTTAAAAAAAATATTCCGCTGGATTTGGAACTGGTTCTTCCCCAGACAGAGGTATTTTCCGAACCAGTGGTAAATTAAACATAAGAGTTACTTTCAATAAGTATTATTTATAACTTGATCAAGGAACATTTAATAAATAAATTGAATTCGCACATATCAAAATTACAAAGACATTTACGTGACCTAAAAACTCGGTCGGAAAAACCAGTTACTTTGTCTTGAGTTAGAATGAAGTTAATATTTTTATATAATAAAATTTTTAATATAGATATTATATAAAAATATTAACTTCGTTCCAACATCATATAGAAGATAATGCGGCTCTACAGATGCAATGGGCTTCATGGGCGGTGAGACAAACCCATGAACAACTAAAATATCAGAGGTATTGTAGGTACATTGCCGGCCTTTTAAAAGAAGTAAGCTTTTTATAGGAGAAAGAACAAACGAGCATGCGGCTCCCCTGATGGCAAGTGACTACAGCCGCCTAAGAACAACTGCAACACCAGGGGAATTGCAGGTGCGTTGCCGCCCTTTTTAAAAAGAGAGTCTTTAAGGAAAAATCTTTGTTTTTGTTGGTAGTCGATTCCACAAAGAAGTTGTGCGAGGAAGAAAACTTCTAAATCGCACAGTGGTGGACCGCCAATCATCCAGATCATGCAGGCAGTCATGTCGTGTCGGAAAAATTAAAGAAAACTTCTAGATAATTGTATCTACAGTGTTGGACCACCAAGCACCCAAATGGTGTGTATATTATTATGGAGAGCTCCTGGGACGGGTGATCGCTACTAAGCTAGTTTAAATTTGTTTTGTGTTTTTAATTGTAATACGCACGATTGTAAATTCTTATTTAAAAAGAAATAGTTCCACTGTGTTTCTTGCTGTTTCTTCCCAGGACAAAGGTTTTTTTTGCGAACCAGTGGTAAATGAAAAAAGTGACTTTCAAGAAGTATTATTTATAATCTATATTGAATAAAAAGTTTCTATTTCCGTTTCTGAATTTAATCACGATATATGTGCTAAATCACAAAACGTTGGTTTTCGTAAAGGTTTTTTCTAATTGTCCCCGTGTCCCGTGTTGCTCAGCATGTTTCGCATTTTAATTTTCGCGTTCATTTGAGGACGAATAAGTTTTACAATTGCACACACTCGAATAGATTTTGTGGTTTGATTAGACTTTTGTAATGCTTACAATAATCTGTCTGCGTCTGTCTTTTTGTCCGATTACACCTGGGAGTCTTCAAGGTTTATGTTGTGCTAAGACAGACTTACAACTTAAGGCTGTACCTACCAGGTTTACCTAGGGTTACCAAATTTCGAAAGGACCAACCCGGGAGAATTTGCTGTAATCGAGTAAGGAGGGGGGGGGGGGGAAGAAAATCTCAATCATTTATTAATTTTTAAATTTATATTTACATTGCTTTCGAGGAAAACCTAGTATTTGTCGATTTCGCAAAGCGAGTGCGAGCGACGGATGCATAAATATAATTTTTAGATAAACCGGAGAAATTATTGCACCCCGGGAGGTCGGGAGATTAACCATTATTACCGGAGTCTCTCGCGCAATCCGGGAGGGTTGGGCACCCTAGCTGTACCGCTGCTTATTACCAAGGAGGATTACAATCCTACTTGACTACAGTCAAGCTGTGGGCAATATTTCGAAACTGAGTATTTTTATCTATATATTAATTCGTCTATAGAAATCTTTGTACCCATTTGTGCGCCCGGAGAAATGAAATTTGGCATAATTGTAGATTATATGTGGAAGGAGTGCAAAAAACTAAAATTTATACATAATGTGTGTTACAAACACATAAAATAAAATAAAATAAAATAAAATAAAATAAAATAAAATATTAACTGTTTACGTCCATACTGCCCATATCAAACTAATAACAGTCTGTGATCAAACTTTGGACGAGTTATCATTACAATTTATCTAAAGGTCTAGTTCTGTGTGATTTCCAATGTTCCTTTTTGAATAGCCGGTTGAGCATTTATTTTATATTTTTATAGAGATATCTGTGTTTTAATGTGTAGTTAAAAGTATAATAAAGCGTGCTTAATAAACCAACTTAAAAAAAGTAATAAATTACGGTCAAGTTTAAACCACAAGGCGACCACTAGTACAAATAAAGGCGACAAACCGTTGCGTGCATCAGTAAACATACTGGTAACGAAGCCATGAGCCTCCAGTTTCCATCACGACCATATAAAGCTAACACGGCTGCAGCGTGCCTTAACCATTAACAAAACGGTATTTTTACACCCAATTACCGAGTGCTCCCTATCGTATTCGGAGTCAAAATCATCAACGTCGTTGACGCTGAGACTGGAGCCGTGGCGTCGTCCAGTGCCAACAGATGGCGCCACGCTCCCGTCGGACTGAGCGCGTGTGAGTGGCGCGGCTGGAGTCTTGTTGCGTTCGCGCGCCGCCCGCAGTAGAGCTGACGTGGACGCTTCAGGCGCGATGCCACGGGATTTCTCCCATTCGTGCAGCTTTCGGGTGAATGATCGAGAAATGCCTGGAAACCAATATTGGCGATGAAATAATTCGATTAAGTGTTGAATTTGAAAACAGACATACAGAACATACAGTTCTTAACTGTATTGATGTATAATATGATTTGTAATTTGTAAAATTTAAATTTCACATTTAATTTGTTGTATACCATCTATTTAAATTATACTTATGTTAGTCTGTTAATACGTAATAAGAAAGAGCACTGTGATATGAAATACAGATAAATACTCGTATTTATCTAGTTCAGACACAGATGTTTCATCATAAATAAATCATTTTTTGTGAACTAAGTATAGATCACAGAATAGTTATTTATAAATGTGATAGTTATGCGAGTGGTGAAGTAAAGTATAGTAGTAAGTATTGTTATTATTATAATGTACGTATAGAATAATAGCTATGCATCTATTATATATATATATATATATATATATATATATATATATATATATATATATATATATATATTATTTATATATACCTAGCATACAATTTTTGGTAGTAAACGAGGCAATAACTCAAGTACAAAAAGTTGTGATTTATTATATGAACGCGAATATAAGACATTGAATAAAATAAATTTTAAGAATTTTAGCGGGTTTATTTCAATTAAATTTTAAAATTTTAGTATTTCAAGTGCCTTATACTTATGCACCCTTGTAACTGAGGTCTTGGGTGTTTGGGGTCCAGATTTCATAGGCGTTAATGTTGCAGGTTTTCGGAGAGTACCTACGTAGGCATGTTGTGATGTACTCTGATTGAAAAAATTATAGATTACTAATGTGCACTGGAGACACTAAATTAATAAAATTCTAGCGACAAACGAATTTACAGTCTACCTTATGGTAAGTGAATACTGCAGTCCACGGTCATCCGCAGCGAACTTCAAACAATAAAGACTACGGATGCGTTGTCAACTTTGAGGTACAAAATAAATGCCTCCCTTTTCGAACCGAAACACAGCAGTGCAAGTACTTCTCTTTGGCGACAGAAGTAGGTGAGAGTGAGATTCCTTCCCGGACCAACCACAGGGTAGAAGGGCAGTCTACCACAGAGGACCACCACAATCTTGATGTATGCGCTCTTTTATAAAATAATTATTTGGGAGTTAATTGTGTACTTACAGTTATAGTTTATTATATTTCAATTATTCATATTAACCCTCTCGTTTAAAAGTCAGATGTAAAATAAACCGACCAGCCACAGGTAGCTACGTTAAATTATACTTCGTCCAAGCCGTCAAAGATGCGAAAACGTCAAAACGTCTGCCAAAAGCGAGCCGCCTGCCTAGTTTAAATTTAAGGCTATCATTGGTAGGGTAAAGAAAATTGGAGAGGTCTATGAAGAGCAGTGGGTTGTTTAATGAAAAAGAATATTTAATAAGTTACTACTATTTAATAAGAATACTTAAGTAATAACTTTATGCTTTATGACATTGTCTATCAGTAAACTTTAGATTTAATAGTTATTGGCAAAAACTATGTATGTGTATACTTACTAAACGGACTCTGCGGCTTATATACATTGCGCTATAAGCTATAGTCATTTCTGCGTAACTCTTACGTAACTCTAACACGACTTAATTGAAGTAATTTAGTTTTTTAGAATTAATATAATACGATTTTAAGTACCAGTTATTATTAATTATTACATATCAATTTTGTACAAGCTCAATCTAGTCCAGTTTAACCCCCAGAAGACACAAGTTTGCGCGTTAACCGCTAAAAAGAACCCCTTTGTCGTATCCCCTCAGTTTCAAGGCACTCCCCTTGTTGCCTCAGCCAGTATCGGAATCCTCGGCGTCGACGTATCGAGTGACGTGCAGTTTCGTGGTCACTTGGAAGGGAAGGCCAAATTGGCCTCTAAAAAGCTTGGCGTGCTCAGCAGAGCGGGACAGTATTTCATGCCGGCACACCGCCTGCAACTTTACAAGGCGCAGGTTCGGCCGCTCATGGAATACTGTTCCCATCTCTGGGCTGGGGCTCCCCAGTACCAGCTCCTTCCACTTGACCGCATCCAGCGCAGAGCGGCTCGAATCGTCGACGACCGAGTGCTTTCCGATCGGCTCGATTCACTGGCGCTGCGAAGAGATGTTGCATCTCTTTGCGTATTTTATCGCATCTATCACGGGGAGTGCTCTGAGGAATTGTTCGGATTAATCCCAGCCGCCAAATTTCGTGAACGCACTACACGGCAAACGTCCCGATACCATCCACACCATCTGGATGCTTGGCGGTCCACCATTGTACGTTTCAAAAGGAGTTTTCTTCCGCGTACAACCTCTGTGTGGAATAATTTACCACCGGTGATTTTTCCGGACCGATACGACCTGGGGACCTTCAAGAAAAGAGCTTACTCCTTTCTAAAGGGCCGGCAACGCACCTGCAATTCCCCTGGTGTTGCGGTTGATCATGGGCGGCGGTAGTCACTTAACATCAGGTGAGCCACATGCTCGTTTGCCCCCCTCTTCTATAAAAAAAAAAGCTGTGTCTACATATACAGTCTTATTTTTCAATAACCGGTCAGATTTGCAGAGAACGATCAAAATAAGTAATATAGGCAAATGTCGATGGAAAATTAATTTAAAGAAATCTTAAACATTCTGTCCTTTTATCTTTTGAATTCAAAATGCGTGGCAAGGCATTATTTTAAATGATTTTACTACGCATGCACACATTCGTAAAGGTTGACCGGTATGCAAAAACGTTGTTGCCCATAAATTACATTCAATTTGGGATAATTTCAAATAAAAATAGAAGCTTTATTTACTTGTATTTTCATAAAAACTGCAATAACGGTATATCATTATTTATACATTTGAACTTAAGTTTAAAATCTGTCTTCTCTTAAAAAAATAACCATGTATATTAGAATATATAGAGCGATACATATAATACAAATTTTGAATTGTTTATTTTATATAATACCTGTCAGTATTTTGTAATTGAGTTTAAGTCTTGTAGACTAACTAAAGAAAAAAGGAAATACTCCTTTATCGACTGCAAGTGCGCGAGGACACTACTTCTTATAGTATAAGATCCCGATATAAAACGACCTTCACCGAGATGCTTATTTAATGAAACGTATTTTATATTTAATTTAATATGTCAATAAATATAATCCATATGGGTTGCCTAGCAAATTTCAGTCCAGAGTATGTTTAATTAATAATTAAAAAAAAATATTTTTTTAAACATTTCACCGGTATGATTATTAGATAAATTCTATACCAATCGAAAGTATAAAGCCCATAGAATATGCAAACGTTAGGTTGCCTATTCTTTTCCGGTCACAACTATAGGGTTGCCAGGTATAAACAGGTAAATCTGTACTAGCATTTTGCAACGGTCTGTTTATTGAATGAAATTTAAATGAAATTAAAGATTATTTTATTCTGAACACGGTGGTATAGGGTTGCCTGCGAAAAATCAGTCCAGAATTGCGGTTGTCGAATTTTAAAAAGTAAAATATTGCTCCGAGTGAATGTGTGTGACTGAGAGGTCCCAACCGACCATCCCATGCGATAGAAGAGGACACAGCATAGCAGCTGTTTTAAGTCCGCCCACTTAAAGAAAGAGAGTGCGCATGCTATTTGGGCTTGGAAAAGAAAAGGATAGCGATAGACTCGTATATACTATGCATGATTTTGGAGTAGAGTGTCGCTATAAATACAATTGAAAAAACGTGCTACTATTTATTGTTAAAGTGGCAAAAAGTGTTTTTTGTGTGGATCGGATGTTGAAATAATTGATTTTTTATGATGAAACACTTTTAAAAACTATTATGTGTATTAAAGTTAGCTTTTCGTAAAAAAAAAAACACTTTAAATACAATTTTGTTGAGCTACCCAGTCGTCGACTCTTCAATTTGTAGGTTATCATACCACGTGCTACAAAAAAGTGATTTTGAATAAAAAATATAACGAAGAATTTCTTAATTTTAGTGCTGAATATACAGTAAGTACATAATAATTGAATCTTTAAAATTATCTTAGCTAATACATCTTCTATATTTTTTTCATGTTTAAATAATTGTTAGCAAAATTCACCTATGGTTTTGTTAATTTTCAACACACATATTTTTTTTGTAATTTACTTAAAAACGGTAATTTATAAATTAAACAAGAAAATGATCTGATTTCCTTTTTTTGTAACAATTAATGAGGATGTTTTCAATCAACTATTCTTATCAAAAAGTTTATAAAATTTATATATCAAACATTTTCATTTAATCGCAAAATTTTTTTTAGGAGCATACCAATGTATCTACTACTGAAGAAGAATCAAAACAGTTGAACCCTAGTATCGATTCCTGTGCTACAGTTGCTGAAGATGAAACGAGTAATGTTGAAGACCTGTCCTAAACTTCTGGGGACTTTGACAAAGTATAAAATATTTTTTAAACTTTTTAAAAAAAATGATATGAAAATCTATTAATTGAACTTGTATTTTCAATTATATTTATTTTCATCGATTTATACTCAAAGAATGATTTAATTCTTTTTAGGAGCAGTCAACATCAACAGCATCAAGCAAAATTATTTGTCTTTTTTGTGACCACAGCCAAAAGAGATTTGGGAAAGAAGCTGGTCAATCTTACTGTCCCTAATGATGACAAAATACCACTACAGATAAAAAAATATAGCGCAAAATTTTGGCGATTCGGTGATTCTCTCCAAACTTCAACATCAAACTATCGCGTACCATCTGCCTTGTTACGCAGTGTATCAATCGAAAAATAAGCGGTAATAGTAAATATAGATAGTTACATCAGTTGGCCTTTCAATCTATATCGAATTTCATTGAAACAGAAATAATTGAAAACAACAAGGTTATGTACTTGGCTCAATTATTTTTAAGATACCAAGCTTTATTGTTAGAGTTTGGAAATCATGAAATTGATTTCGATGATATTCAAGATTACCGAAGTGAAACCTTGCAAAAAAATTAATGAAGAAATTCGATGATCGTATTACGACTGAAGCGTCAATGGGAATACGTA